GCTTGATATAGCTGACTTTTTAGACTGGAGATTTCGGATCTTAGCTCTGCTATCTCTTCTTCTGAAGCATTCTCAAGTCGCTCTATGTCTTTATTGAAATCTTGGATTTCCTGCTCACACTGGCTATATTCACGCTCCAGTTGGTTGAACCGTTTCTTATTCAGGCGATTATTTTCTACCTCTGTTTGTAATGCATCTCGAAGATGATAATTATCCTCCTCCAACTCGGCTTTATACTCTTCACATGTTTTTCTCTGCCTTGGATTAGATCTGTGAAATGTCATTCTTTTTTTTGTTATTATAAAAGAGATTCGGAATAGGAGAACCCTTGATTTATATTGATTCTCAAAAAACGCATGATCTTGACCGAAATCTTACCTTACAGAAGCTGTATTATTAACCTGAAAGCCTTTACCAAAATATTAAGGGATTATTAGATGCTTGTAAAAAAACCGACTATAGCTTTCCATTTACTGATGTAAAAAAATGGCTTGATAGGCTGGCAAGTTATCAAATTTTTCATTCTTCACCAAAGCATATACGTTATGTTAGCTATTCTAGAATCACAAAACTGAATTTTGTACATCAGTGTGATTTGATCGAAATACCATATGATGATGTGAATATAGTTTTATTAGACAATGGTCCAATCTTTTACTATGTATTGTTGGTTATAGACTATGCGACTAGATATAAAGATTTCATTTTTTTAACATCAAAAAGTAGTGCAGAAGTCGCAGAAGCTTTTAAGAGTATATATGATAATCCTGACAATCCCCTTAACTGGCCTCAAAAACTACAATGTGATAAGGACACTGAGTTTATGGAATATGTAACTTTATTAATGAATAAGCATGGTGTTGAAATCCGAAGAATTATAACACGTTTCAGACATACTAGCTTTGCCTTTGTTGACTGTTATGCCGGAATATTCGAATTAAGAGTTTTTAAAAATCAGTATACTGTAGAGTTTCTCTTACCTACTGGTAAACGCTGTAGAGAATGTGAACGATTTGCAAGGTGGATTGTTGATAATATGAATGATACCCCTACTCGATTAATTGAAATGAGCCCTAATGATGCCACAAAACTTGATCAGATATATTCTAAGCCATTGGTAAAATATAATCGTCCGATAGGTGTTGATAAATCACAGTTACTAAAGGGTACTACTATCCGATTTTTGCTTACCCCTGAAGAGTAGGAAAATGACCCTTTTGAACAACATAGAATAACAGATCCAATATGGTCTCCCAGCCTACATAAAATTCGAAGAATTGTTGTTGGAAAAAATTCTCTAATGCCTGTTTTGTATTATTTAGATGATTCAGGATCTCAACGTCCCTTTGTAAGAGAACAATTGATGTATATTAAAGAAGAGCCAATGCTTCCTCCTAGGTGAATATTGAAAGGTAACTGAATGCATACAAGGTGCTTTTTATAAAAGTCTCTAAGTCAATAATGCAATAAGGAATTGTAATGAGGATTACTCCTTGTTCATAGCATAGCACCTTTTTTTCCAGTCACACCAAATTTGTGCATCTAGATTCATTTGCCCTTGCGGGTAAAAAAAGGCACGATTTGATAATGTTGGTTTTCACTATATTCGAAAGCAAAGCCTAGCTCTTCATTATATCTATCTAAGTGTAAACCTTCTAAAAATTTAGGTTTTCGGAGTGGGAATTTTTTATTTAATAAATCTTCAAATATATACCGACATGTTCTTTCCGGTACATTAGGGCAAATATTACACCATCTATGATTCTGTTTCATATTTTTATATGGCGCCTCCCATTGATGACCCTTTTTACATGACCATAAATATGTATTAGGACTAACTTTGCCTAAGCA